TGCTCAGAGTGACCCATGCACCCCTTAAAAACGGAAGGACTGGGCGCATGACCCCTTGTTAAGGGGGATTACCGGTTATCCTAATGCTGAGCCGCAAACCCTAGACCTCCTGAACCCTAAACCCTAAACCCTAAACCGTCCTAGAACCCTCAACATCCCGAATGCCCAACAATGCAGGCCGTGCGTCGTGGCACTCGCTGCATCACTGGCGCCGCGGGCTCTTCCAGAGAAGCCGCCCAACCTCGTACTTTCACAGGGCTGAGAGGTTTAGGGTTTAGGGTTTAGGGTTTAAGGTTTAGGGCTTAGGGTTTAGGATTAAAATCATGGGGCTGAGGGAGTAGGGATTGGGGTGTGAGGCTGAGGGCTAGGGGCCGCTAAAGGTTAAGCGCTTGGGCTCGGGGTTTCCGCTTCATTTCTTAGCACCCCCCCCCCCCCCCCCCCCCCCCCCCCCCCCCCCACCCCCCCCCCCCCCTACCCCCCACCCACCCACCCTCCCCACCTCCCAAATCCCCCACAACCCCCACCCCCCCACCCCCCCCCACCCCCACCCCCACCCCCCCCCCCCCCCCCCCCCCCCCCCCGCACTCCCGATTACCACCCCTCCATGCGACCCCCCCTCTAGGTTCCCCCTCTGAAGTAACCTTCAATTAGTAATGATCCCTAAATAGCCTTAGTGATGGAGGAACCGAGATGGGGCAGAAAAGAGGGAGGTAGTAGGGGAACCCATGCAGCACCCCCGTGTTAAGGCCATAGTGGCCATTCGCAGGCTTCCAGGGTTTAGGGTTTAGGGTTTGGGGTTTGGGGTTTAGGGTTTAGGGTTTAAGGTTCCCAACTGAGTTGTGCCATTAACCCTTTGAGAATTATTTGTGAAGAGGTTCCCTCATAAGGAAAGAAGGGAAAATTAATCCAAAGCACAGCCCAGCTAACCTTTATTGCGGGCCGAACATACAAGACCCCGAGCCGGAAGAGCACTGCAAAAGGCAAGCGGATTTGGATCACAGGGTGTCTCATGTTTCTACAGGGAACATTTCAAACGATGTGGGAATTTTCAGGGCCAGAAAGTTCGCAGAACAAAATACTGGGGTCTCTGAATTCTGAAGTTTCAAGACCCCTAAACCCTAAACCCCAAACCCGGTTTGCCTTGAAACCTGCTCGGCTCCAACAGCGGTGGGCTGGAATTCCCCCCCTTCATTCATCAGCCGAAGCCCAAGGCAGGTTTGTTTAGGGTTTAGGGCTAGGGTTTAGGGTTTAGGGTTTAGGGCTAGGGTTTAGGGTTTAGGGGTTTAGGGGTTTAGGATTTTGGCTGATTTTGGCTGCCCTTTGAAACATTGCGGGCCCTCCGGGGCTGAAGGAGATACGACTAGACCCCGAGAGTAACCCAGGAAAAAAAAAAACAAGTGCCCCTTTTCGGCTTAAGGGGCTTATTAAGGGAACCTTAATCCCAAAAAAGGTAAACAGAGCCTACTTTGGGTACTAGTAGAAGGTTCCGGATTTAGGGTTTAGGGTTAATGTTTAGGGTGCCAATCCAGTCCAAGCAGCCTCTCATCACGCTGACCGTGCTCGCGCTCTTGGGACCTGCATCTTGCAACCAGCTTTTTCTGGAATGCGTCTTGGACCCAATCAATTTTTTGTTACAACCGGTGATGCAGGGTTTAGGGTTTCGGGTTTAGGGATTAGGGTTTAGGTTTAGGGTTTAGGGTTTAGGGACTAGGGTTTAGAGGAGCTTACCAGAGACAGGTCTGCGCAGCCCACTTGAAAGCCCAAAGCAGCTCTCAGTAACAGCCAAGCCTCAGTGTAACCACACAGGGACCCCAAACCCCAAACCCCAAACCCTAAACCCTAAACCCTGAGCCGTTTATCAGTCACAGCCAAGCCTCTCATCTGCATCGCGCGGAGACCGACGGTCGATCCGGCCCCACCTGGCTTTGAGGCAGAGGATTCTTGGGAGCTTGAAACGTTAAACCCTAAACCCTAAGCCTTAAGCTTAAACCCTAAACCAACCTATAGACCCTAAACCCCAAACCCCAAACCCTGAAGGCCCTAAAGGCCCTAAAGGCCCTATACCCTAGGGCCTAAACCCTGAACCCTGAATCCTAAAGGCCCTAAAGGCCCCTAAAGGCCCTGAAGGCCCTGAAGGCCCTACACCCCAAAGGCCCCAAACCCTAAACCCTAAACCCTGAACCCTAAACCCGAAACCCTAAACCCTAAACCCCTGCAAAGCCAGTCCCAGCAGCCTCTCTTCGCTCTCAGGACCGATCTCCTGGGACCTGTGGTCATGCAGCTGAAGGGTTTAGGGTTTAGGGCATAGGGCAGAGGGTTTAGGGTTTAGGGCTTAGGTGGAGTGATTTCAAGAGGCCTTCGGTTTGGTTTTGTTCTTTTTTGCACCAAAGTTTATGATTTTGGTTGCACCTCAGTCTTTTTCAACATGGTTGTTCAGACTTTTTGTCTTTGGATTAACCAGTGTTCATGTGTGTTTGTTTTGGGTAGTTTGAAAACACAATCTGGACTTAAGCCCTTGGCGTCTGAACTTAAAGCCTTGATTTCCGAACTTAAAACACCGTTTTAAGTCCATATTTTATGATTTTTGAAAACACAAGAAGTCAAAAGCAAACGTTCCAGCTTTCCCAAAACGATTCCAAGTATTGTTGGCAAATCAATTTTTAGGCTGTCAGGAACTACTTCCGGGCTTTTCCTGTGATTTGTTTTTGCTTCTTTCTGTTTTGCAGGTTGCTTTTTTGCAGCTGTTCATCTAGCTTGACTATATCATTTCCGGTTCTCGAGGGTGTTCACGCAAAAACTATTCACAGGCCTTCCTGGAATCACCCCAAGGTTTGGGGTTCAGGGTTCAGGGTTTAGGGGTTTAGGTTTAGGGTTTAGGGTTTAGGGGTTTAGGGGTTTAGGGGTTTAGGGTTTAGGGTTTAGGGTTTAGGGTTTGGGGTTTAGGGTTTAGGGTTTAGGCCCGTGTCGCGACACGGCCCTTCGAAAGCCCGAAGAACCTCAACCATACGCAGCAGTTTAGGGTTTATATGGTCAGTACTCTTCATTTATGGTCCCTTTTGGGTACCCTAGACAAGAGGGGCCGCCTTCTATTAAGGACCCCCAAAGGGGGACCATAATTTAGAGGAATCACCATACAGGTTTAGGGTTTTGGGCTTGGGGCTTGGCCAGTTTAAGCTTGACACGGCTTGGGCAATGTACCATTCATGCATGCGCAGAGGGGGCTGCTGATCCGTTCCTGCAGACTCCTTATTTTTGAGGGGATCCTACTATTAGGGGATCTATATTGGGGTTCCCCGATTTCATAAGCCCTTATTTCGGTGACAAAGATACTCAGACAGTGGCATGGGAAGAACGTACTCCGGTGGCGCCACAAACGACCCCCACGGCTGGCTACCATGACCTACTCAGCACCTGAAAACCAAAATCCTCGGGCGTCAATGCTGTGATAGAGGGGTCCTGGCCCTAAACCCTAAACCCTAAACCCTAAACCCTAAACCCTAAACCCTAAACCCTAAACCCTAAACCCTAAACCGAAAGCACCCCCAAATACTAACAGATGCGAACCCTTTTCGAAGCTCCAATACATCCTCGAACCATGAAGGCCCTAAACCCTAAACCCTAAACCCTAAACCCTAAACCCTAAACCCTAAACCCTAAACCCTAAACCCTAAACCCTAAACCCTAAACCCTAAACCCTAAACCCTAACCCTAAACTCCCGGTCCTAGCCCTAAAAGTGCGCAAGACCTGCGCACACCTTAAGTGCAAGCCGTGCGTCGATGCATCTGCGCCCACGGCACGGGCGCCAGGGTTGCCCCCCAGCCTCGCAGATGTCCCCAATTATTGTTTTAATTAGTAGGGTTTAGGGTTTAGGGTTTAGGGTTTAGAGTTTAGGGTTTAGGGTTTAGGGTTTAGGGATTAGGGATAGGAATAGGGGGACCCTTGGGGATATAGACCCTCTCAAAAAGGTCCCTGTGTAAGGGAGCCAGAAGAGGGTTGAGAAGGGCTCCCTTTTAGGGGTAGTTGTTGAATGGTCGATGTTTGAAGCCAAGCGACTGCTCATCTGCATCGAGCGGAGAATCCCGCTGGAACCGGCCAAGCCTGGATTTGAGGCAGAGGGTGCTTGTAAGAGTGAAAGTTCAGGCCTGCAAGCGACGGCAGTGCGAATCCAGACCAAGCAGCCTCTCTTCACGCTCGCGCTCGCGGTCTTGGTACCTGCGGTTCATGGGTGGGAGCTTTCTCGACAGGACCGGACAGTTCGAGGGAAGAATGCAACCCGGTACCACCACCAACATGTCACGATCTATCCAACACTTGAATGCCCCGACATCCAAAGTCAAACACATGGGTGGTTCTCAAAATTCTGGTCCCTTTTTGGATCCCTACTATACTACGGCACCTAATATTTAAGGTACCCCAAAAGGGATCATAATTTTGACAACCACCCATATGCCAACCCACACCAAACCGTCCCAAGAACTCCCGAAGAACCCTGAAATGCGCAAGGCCGCGCCCCTGCTTAGTGCAAGCCGTGCGTCGATGCATCTGCGCCCGCGTCACGGGAGCCATCGTTGCCCTCCAGCCTCGCTAGACGCCCAAGTGTTTTAGAGGGAGTTTATGGCCGAGTATAAGGCTTTCCTCAGACCCCCCTACCCTAGACTGGGGAGTGATAAGCTGTTGAATATACTTAATTATTTGGTTCTACCAGCGGCAAACAGCCACTTCAATTGGCATGCGAGTGTAGAGCTCTTGTGGCCCTCAAGCAAGTTGGTGAACAGTCATTGTACACTTTTGGGGCTTAGGTTGACTTTGCGGTTTGGGGTTTAGGCTTCAGGACTTCGAGAAGACGCTACCCCAGCAAACTTCACAGCCCAAAGCCTGCAAACTCCGAAATCCCGAAGGGGTTGCATCTAAGCGACTGCTCATCTGCATCGAGCGGAGAATCCCGCTGGAACCGGCCCCGCCTGGATTTGAGGCAGAGGGTGCTTGTAAGAGTGAAAGTTCAGGCCTGCAAGCGACGGCAGTGCGAGTCCAGACCAAGCAGCCTCTCTTCACGCTCGCGCTCGCGGTCTTGGTACCTGCGGTTCATGGGTGGGAGCTTTCTCGACAGGACCAAGGACCAGACAGTTCGGTACCCAAGATACTCAGATGCTGGAACTCTGGCAGGGAAGAATGAAACCCGGTGCCGCCACCAACCGCCACACGGCAGACTGCCATGATCTTCCCAACACCTGAATGCCGCCACATCCTCTGGCGACCCAAAATGAACACCAAATTCAAACATATGTCAACCCACACCAAACCGTCCCAATAACTCCCGAAGGACCCTGAAATGCGCAAGGCGTGCGCCCCTGCTTAGTGCAAGCCGTGCGTCGATGCATCTGCGCCCACGTCACGGGAGCCAGCGTTGCCCTCCAGCCTCGTTAGACGCCCAAGTGTTTTAGAGGGAGTTTGTGGCCGAGTATGGGGCTTTCCTCAGACCCCCATACCCTGGACTGGGGAGTTATAAGCTGTTTAATATATTTGGTTCTACCAGCGGTAAACAGCCGCTTACATTGGCATGAGAGGGTAGGGGCTTTGTGGCCCTCAAGCAAGTTGTGAACGGTCAGGTCATTGTACACTTTTGGGGCTTAGGCGCGCTACCCCAGCAAACTTGACAGCCCAAAGACTACTCACTCCTAGCAATCCAGGAACGAGCTCGCAAGGGTTGCAACCATGCGACTGCTCATCTGCATCGCGCGGAGAATCCCGCTGGAACCGGCCCCGCCTGGCTTTGAGGCAGAAGGTGCTTGTCAGAGTTAAAGTTCAGGACTATAAAGGCAGTGCAACTCCAGACCAAGCAGCCTCTCTTCACGCTCGCGCTCGCGGTCTTGGTACCTGCGGGTTCAAGATGGTAATAAACGGGTGGGAGCTGTCTCGACAGGACCAGACATGTCGGTAGCCATGCTAGTCAGGGTGTGAAAAAAAAGCCACCCAGTGCTGCCATCAACCACCCCATGATCTACCAACACCCAAAAAAAGCCGCGAACATCCTCCGGCATAAGTGCTGTGATGTAAAGATCTCCGACCTGCAGCGCACACCAAATTCTAACAGATGTCAACCCGCACCAAACCGTCCCAAGAACTCCCGAAGGACCCTCCCCCTGCTTAGTGCAAGCCGTGCGTCGATGCATCTGCGCCCACGGCACGGGAGCCAGCGTTGCCCTCCCGCCTCGCAGACGCCCAACGAGTACAGGGTGGGGCCCCCTAGTTATAAGTAGAGTTATAAGGACCGTAAATTGGGTTATAAGGACCCTAAGTTAGGTTATAACTCCCTTAACTACCCCACCCTGTAGGGCTTATGCCTCAAACCCCCAAAGTTCCCGAAATGATTGCCAACATACCCGAGACTGGGGAGCTATTGTAGACTGTTGTAGACTATTGGATTCTACCAGCGGTAAACCGCTACTCAACTTGGGATGAGAGTGTAGGGGCTTCAATTTGCTGAAGGCTCATCGCGCACTGTTGGGGGTTAGGTTAACTTTGCGGTTCGGGGTTTAGGACTTCGGGAACACGCCATACCACATGATCTCTTGCGTTGTCGGCAGGGTTTCCACTCCACATCGATGTCCATGAAATGCGTCTTGGACCCAACCAAAACCCTGCCACTACCAGTGGCAAATGGCCCTACACGTAGACAGAGACAAACATAGCCCTAAACCCTAAACCCTAAACCCTAAACAACCCCGTACATAGCAAGCGCCGAAAGACTTCTTCGCACCCAGCGTCTCGTCATCTGCATCGAGCGGAGAGACGCGATGGATGCGCCCCCTCCTGAGAGCCCAGGGGTTTTAGGGTTTAGGGTTTAGGGTTTGGGGTTTAGGGTTTAGGGTTTAGGGTTTAGCGATGAGGATTTAGGTTTTTGTTGTTCAGGGCTTTGGGGTGCTTGGGGCTTGGGGCTCCACAAGGTTCAGGACTAGGGGTTAGGCTCTGGCCAAAACTGCATTTCAAGTACACTCTAACAAGTCAGCAAGGCACAGAAGCGTCAGAGACGTGGAGCTGAAGAAGGGGTTGGGACGCTTTGCAGACAAGTTCACAGGGTGGGGCCCCCTAGTTATAAGTAGAGTTATAAGGGCCCTAAATTGGGTTATAAGGACCCTAAGTTAGGTTATAAGTCCCTTAACTACAGTTAGTATAGTAAGTGGGCGCCACCCTGCAGGACCTGAGAAACCGCCCGCGCAATTCCGTTCCAAGCAGCCTCTCTTCCCGCTGGCGCGCGAGCTCTTGGGACCTGCCGTCGCGCGGTTGAACGCTTGGAGCTTTCAAACTGCAGCCGCCTGGGGGGTCTAGGGCACGGGCCATGGGCTCTGTGCATGCTCTGTACTGTTCATTGCAAAGATTAGCAAAGCCAGCGCCCTGCTAAGTGCAGGCCGGGCGTCGACGCATCTGCGCCGTCAGCGCGGGTCTCGCCAGGGCTGTCATCCAGCCTCGTACGGACGAAACTGTATGACCAAACAATAGTCTAGACTGCATATGAAAACTCAATACACCTTTCAAGGTTTGGGGTATGCAATTTAGGAATTTGGGCCCAAGTATCGGTGATACTGTTGCCAGCAACTCGCCCATCGCCTTCTAACTTCCTCTTACGGTGACCCCAGCGGCGTGGCACTTCATGTTTCAAGTAGCTGCAGGCAAGAACAGTCTGCTTTCTTGTATGAAAGCTCGAAAGCTCTTCCAAAAAAGGAGAGAGAGAGAGAGAGTGCGAGAGAGCGAGAGAAACTGATGGAGAGACGCGGAGCAGAAAAAGCAAGCCCAGCCCAACCAACTGAATCCGATCGCCCCGACCATGGTGGAATGAAGTGACAGGCCAGGAGGCTCCTCATCTCCAAAGCGCTGGCTCCGGCCCCGCCTGAGAGCCAAGGGCTTTTGGGCTTCGGGATGTCAGGGTGCTTAGGGGCTTACAACTTCCAGAAGGTTCAGGTATAGGGTTTAGGTTTTAACCGGACTTGCACTTAGGGTAAGGTCTGCTCAGATTGCGGCCACACTTGCATTGCAAGTACACTCAAAGTCAACAAGGAAGAGAAGCTTCAGAGACGTGGAGCTGAGGAAGGGGTTCGGGCGGTTGGGGGTTTGAGAAAAAATCAAGGACCTGAGCAACCGCCAGCGCAAAAATCCATTCCAAGCCGCCTCTCTTCCCGCTCGCGCGCGAGCTCTTGGGACCTGCTGTCATGTTGAGCGGTGGGAACACTCCACGACAAGACCCGGTGTCAAAACCTTCATATGCAACAACCTGCAGCGTGCAGCAGCCGTCTGGGGGGTTGTAGGGCGCGTGCCATGGGCTCTGTATGCTCGATACTGTTCACTGCAAATCCAGCACCCTGTTAAGTGTAGGCCGGGCGTCGACGCATCTGCGCCATCAGCGCGGGTCGCGCCAGGGCTGTCATCCAGCCTCGTACTTGTGCGAGTGAGTATAGGGCTTATGGAGGGGTGGGATGGTGGGAGGGTGGGAGGGTGGGAATCGCATCGAATCGCGGCAACATCGAATCGAAATATCGATGTCGCGGGGATCGAATCGGTCAGGGCATGAAGATCCTACAATCTCAGCCCTACACAGAACTGTATGCCCGAACACTACTCTAGTAGGCGTATGAAATAAAATACACCTTTCAAGGGTTTGGAATGAGGGCTTAGGATGCAGTCAAGGGATTTGGGTCCAAGATGGCCCCAAGTATCGGTGCGACTGTTGCCAGCAACTCGTCCATCGCCTTATAACTTCCCCCTTTACCGTGACACCATCGGCGCGGCACTTCATGCTTTAAACTGCCGAAGGCAAGAACAACGTCAGAGGTCTCGTGTAAAACTCGCAAGTTCTGAAGGACGAGATTCGAAAACCAAAAGTGGACAGGGAGAGAGAGAGAAAAAAAAAAAAAAAAAACAAGGACGACGGAGAGACAGATGTAGATGGGAAGCAACAAACAAGCCCGGCCCAACCAACAGAAAAAACTGAAGCCCCGCGCTGAACTGCTAAAGTCCGAGCGCCCGAACATAGTGTAATGAATGCCAGGAGACTTCTCATCTCCGAAGCGCTGACTCCGGCCTTGCCTGAGAGCCAAAGGGGTTGGGGTTCGGGGTGTTAGGGTGCTTGGAGCTTACGGCTCCATGAGGTTCCAAAATTGCATGTCAAGCAGACTCTACAGGGTGGGGCCCCCTAGTTATAAGTAGAGTTATAAGGGCCCTAAATTGGGTTATAAGGACCCTAAGTTAGGTTATAAGTCCCTTAACTACAGTTAGTATAGTAAGGGGGCCCCACCCTGTAAAAATCTAAATCAGCAAGGAACAAAACCTTCAGAGACATGGAGCTGAGGAAGGGGTTGGGACGTTAGGCCGACGGTGGGGGGGCTGAAAAAGTTCAGGACCTGAGGAACAGCCAGCGCAAAAATCCATTCCAAGCGGCCTCTCTCCCCGCTCGCGCGCGAGCTCCTGGGACCTGCTGTCGCGCGGTTGAGCGGTGGCACCGTTCCATGACAAGACCCGGTGACGAAACCTTATGAGCCAGAACCACAACCCTGCAAAATACTGAAATGCTGCTGCCGTCTGCATGGGGGTTAGAGGGCATGGAGCCATGGGCACTATACTCTCTGTATTGTTCGCTACAAAGCCAGCACCCAGCACCCTGTTCAGTGCAGGCCGGGCGTCGACGCATCTGCGCCATCAGCGCGGGTCTCACCAGGGCTGTCATCTAGCCTCGTTCTTGTGCGAGCGAGAAGGGCTTATGGAAGACTTTGGGGTCAAAAAGGTGTCTGCGACAAAAGGTGTATAAAAGCATAGCAATTACGTTTCAAGCAAGAGTATTCTTGTTGAACAATCCTTCATCCTCAGCCACACAGGAACGCTAATCCTACATGCCTCCGTCGCCACTCGCCTGATAACTTTCCTCTTGCCGTGACACCAGCGGCGCAGCACTTGATGCTTAGCGAAGGTAAGAGCAACGTCGGCTGTCTCGTACAGGGTGGGCCCCCTAGTTATAAGTAGAGTTATAAGGGCCCTAAATTGGGTTATAAGGACCCTAAGTTAGGTTATAAGTCCCTTAACTACAGTTAGTATAGTAAGGGGGCCCCACCCTGTAACATCCGAACGCCCTGAGCACGGCGTAATGAATGCCAGGAGACTCCTCATCCCCAAAGCGCTGGCTCCGGCCCCGCCTGAGGGCCAAGGGGTCGGGGGTTCAGGGCGTTAAGGTGCTTGGGGTTTATACGGCTCCATATGTAGGGTTTGGCTTGTACATGCTTGTATTTGGGGGAAGGTCTAGGGTTTGTCAAGAAGGCACAGAAGCTTTAGAGAAATGGAGCTGAGGAAGACGCTTGGACGCTTTGAAAAGCACAGGACCTGAGCAACCGCCGGCGCAATTCCATTCCAAGCGGCCTCTCTTCTCGCTCGCGCGCGAGCTCTTGGGACCTGCAATCGCGCGGTGGAACGGTGGGAGAATTCCCGATAAGACCCTGCGACAAAACCCTCTGAACTAGAACCACAACACTGCAGCATGCTGCAGCCATCTGGGGGCTACAAAGGCATGAGGCCACGGGCTCCGTATGCTCTGTACTGTTTATTGCAAAGATCAGCCAAGCCAGCACCCTTCTCAGTGCAGGCCGGGCGTCGACGCATCTGCGCCATCAGCGCGGGTCTCGCCAGGACTGTCATCCAGCCTCGTTCTTGTGCACGCGAGTAGGGCTTACGGAAGATTTGGGGTCTATATAAGGTCTAGGCCTCAGAAGGTGTCAGCAACTAGAAGTATAGCAACTACGGTTCAGATCGTGGGTTTGCAATACTCGACAACTCCTACAACCTCAGTCGTATACGAATTTTAACCCTATATACAGAAGCCCTAACAAAACAGTTCGCCCGAACACTACTGTAAAAGGCGTACGAACTTAAATCAACCTTTCAAGGTTTAGGGTTCGGATTTAGGGCTTAGGATGCAATCTAATAATCTGGGCTAAAGTATCGGCGATACTGTTGCCAGCAACTCGCCCGTCGCCTTATAAACTTCCCTGCCGCAGAACAACGTCAGCCGTCTCGTAGAATTGCCCGAAAGTTTTCAGGGCACGAGATTAAGAAACAAAAAGAGAAGAGGAACAGAGGGAGAGACGCAGATCGGAAGAAGCAAGCCCGAACCCCAACCAACCGAAATTCCGAAGCCCATGCTGAACTGCAAAAAAGTACGCCCAAAACACGGTTTGATGAAGAGACAGCCAGGAGACTCCTCATCTCCAAAGCGCTGGCTCCGGCCCCGCCTGAGATTCAAGGGGCTTGGAGGTTCAGGCGGGTAGGGTGCTTGGGGCTTTCGGTTCCAAAAGGTTCCAAAATTGCATTTCAAGCACGCTCTAAATTTACTCTAAATTCAAAATCACCAAGGAACAAAAATCTTCAGAGACATGGAGCTGAGAAAGGGGTTGGGACGCTTAGGCCGACGGTGGGGGGGCTGAAAAGCTCAGGACCTGAGCAACCGCCCTTGCAAATCCAGTCCGAGCCGCCTCTCTTCCCGCTCGCGCGCGAGCTCTTGGGACCTGCTGTCGCGCGGTTGAGCGGTGGCAGCGTTCCAGGAGAAGACCCGGTGACGAAACCTTTATGAGCCAGAACCACAACACTGAAGCACACTGCAGTTGCCTGGGAATCAACAGGGCTCTTTACTGTTCATTGCAAGGATTAGCAAAGCCAGCATCCTGCTAAGTGCGGGCCGGGCGTCGACGCATCTGCGCCATCAGCGCGGGTCTCGCTAGGGCGGTCATCCAGCCTCGTACTTGTGAAGCGAGAAGGGCTTCTGGAAGACTTTGCGGTCTCTATAAGGTGTAGGCTTCAGAAGGCGTAGAAAAGAATAGCATTCTTTGAACAAATCCTTCAACCGCAGCCCTTGAGGAACTTTAACCGTACATGCCTAAGCCCTAACAAAACTGAATGCCCATCGCCCATCGCCTCATAAATTCCCTCTTACCGTGACACCAGCCTTTTTCAGATTGCCGAAGACAAACATCAGCTGTCTCGTATAGAACTCGACATTTCTGAAGGACGATATTCAAAAACAAAAAGAAGAGAAACAGACACAGACGGAGAGACGTAGATCGGAAGAAACAAACAAGCCCGGCCCAAACGACTGAAATACGGAAGCCCATGCTGAATTGCTAACATCCGAACCCCCCGAACATGCTGTAGCGAATGCCAGGAGACTCCTCATCTTCAAAGCGCTGACTCCGGCCCCGCCTGAGAGCCAAAGGGGTATGGGGTTCAGGGCGTTAGGGTGCTTGAGGCTTATGGCTCCAAGAGGTTCCAAAATCGCATTTCAAGCAGACTCTAAATTGAAAATCAGCAAGGAACAAAACCTTCAGAGACATGGAGCTGAGGAAGACGTTCGGACGATTTGACTTAAAGTTCAGGACCTGAGCAACAGCCAGCACAATTCCATTCCCAGCCGCCTCTCTTCCCGCTTGCGCGCGAGCTCTTGGGACCTGCTGTCGTGCGGTTGAACGGTGGGAGCGTTCCACGACAAGACCCTGCGACAAAACCTGCATGAGCCGGAACCACAGCACTGCACTGCAGCATACTGCAGCCGTCTGGGCGTTATAAAGGCATGGGGCCATGGGCTCTGGGATGCTCTGCACTGTTCCGGGTTTAGGGTTTAGGGTTTAGGGTTTAGGGTTTAGGGTTTAGGGTTTAGGGTTTAGGGTTTAGGGTTTAGGGTTTAGGGTTTAGGGTTTAGGGGGTTCATTGCAAAGATTAGCAAAGCCAGCGCCCTGCTAAGTTCAGGCCGGGCGTCGACGCGTCTGCGCCATCGGCGAGGGTCTCGCCAGGGCTGTCATCCAGCCTCGTTCTTGTGCGAGCGAGTAGGGCTTGTGGAATCTCTCGGTTCTACATTTAAAAGGTGTGGGCTTCAGAAGGTGTCAGTAACTAAAAGAGTAGCGACTACGTTTCGAGCCCAAGTATTCTTTGAACAATTCCTTCAACCTCAGCCCTACAGGATGTTAAAGCCTGCATGCCGAAGCCCTAGCAAAACTGTTCGCCCAAACACTACTCTACCCAAAGGGTCCTAAGTACCTATATGGGGGGACACTTACCTAACCATAATCGTACTTCCTAGTATAGAAACCCTACTTTCGACTATGTAGGTACTTAGGATTCTTTGGGCTAGAAGCTGTATGACATTGAATAAAGCCTTCGAGGTTTAGGGTTTGGGTTCATGGCTTAGGATTCAGGATGCCGTCTAGAAATTGGGCCCAAGTATCGGTGATACTGTTGCCGTTCAACGCGCCCATCGCTTTGCAACGTCTCTCTTACCATGACACCAACCGCGTGGCACGTTGTGTTGTTGCAAATTGCCGAAGACAAGAACAACGTCAGATGTCTCGTATAGAACTCGAAAGATCTGAAGGACGAGGCTCAACAACAAACAGAGAAGAGAGACAGACGGCGAGGCGGAGATCACAAGAAGCAAGCCGGGGGCCCAACCAACTGAAATGCCAAAGAGACCATGCTCAACTGCTTTTAGGGTTTAGGGTTTAGGGTTTAGGGTTTAGGGTTTAGGGTTTAGGGTTTAGGGTTTAGGGTTTAGGGTTCGAGCGCCCCCCCGAGATGGTGGAATGAAGTGACAGCCAGGCGACTCATCATCTCCATAGCGCTGGCTCCGGCCCCGCCTGAGGGCCAAGGGCTCTTGGGCGTTCGGAGGGGTAGCTTGGGGCTTAGGGCTCCATAAGGTTCAGGTATAGGGTTTATAGGCTCTATAACCAGAATTGCACTTAGGTTAAGGTCTATATGGTTTAGGTTGCGGACCATTTGCAGGTCAAGCACACTCTAGTCAACAAGGCACAGAAGCTTCAGTGACATGGAGCTGAGGAAGGGGTTGGGGCGGCTGGAGGTTTGAGAAAAGTTCAGGACCTGAGCAACCGCCGGCGCCAATCCATTCCAAGCCACCTCTCTTCCCGCTCGCGCGCGAGATCTTGGGACCTGCAGTCGCGCGGTTGAACGCTGGAAGCTTTCCACGACAAGCCCCGGTGACGAAACCTTTATGAGCCAGAATACTGCTGCCGTCTGGGGGTTATAAAGGCATGGGGCCACAGGCTCTGGGTATGCTCTGTACTGTTCAGTGCAAAGATCATCCAAGCCAGCGCCCTTCTAAGTGCAGGCCGGGCGTCGACGCATCTGCGCCATCGGCGCGGGTCTTGCTAGGGCTGTCATCCAGCCTCGTTCTTGTGCGAGTAGGGCTTATGGAAGACTTTGGGGTCTATATAAGGTGCAGGCTTCAGAAGGTGCCAGCAACGAACTAGAAGAATCGCGACTACGTTTCTAGCCAGAGTATTCTTTGAACAAAGTCTTCAACCTCAGCCCTACAGTTATAGCAACTTTAACCCATTATATGCCTAAGCCCTACCAAAACTGTTCGCCCGAACACTACTGTAGGAGCCGTATGACATCGACCATAACCTTTCAAGGTTTAGGATTTGGAAGAGGGCTTAGGATTTTGCCCAAGTATTAGTGATGCTGTTGGCAGCAACTCGCTCATCGCCTTATAATCTCCCTCTTACGGTGACGCCAGCGGGCGGAGCACTTCATGCTTTCAAATTTCCGAGAGTAAGAACAACGTCAGCTGTCCAGTATAGAACTCGAAAATTCTGAGGGACAAGATTCAAAAACACTAAGAGGCTTGGGGTTTAGGGTTTAGGGAGGAAGAGACAGACCACCGAGCGAGAGCGAAGAGAGAGAGAGAGAGCAGTCCAGGCCATCGGAGTGAAATTCCGTGAGCCCATGGAGCATATTCATGACTGGGTAAGGTTTAGGGTTGGGGGTCGAGGGTTGAGGGGGTTTAGGGTTTAGGACCGAAGAGTACTGTAGGCATAGAAGAGGGGCGCCCTTCCTAGCTTACTCCAAAAACCAGGGGAATGAGGGGCCTACTCTGAGTCCTCCTAATTCCTGTCCCGTAAGCCCTAAACCCTAAACCCCAAACCCTAAACCCTAAGCCCTAAACCCCTAACCCCGAAACCCTAAACCGGGTCCTCGTAATTTTACAGCCAACAGGCTCCTGGTCGGCATCGTCTGTGAGCCCACGCTGGCTCCTGTCCCGCCTGGATTGGGTGGAGCAGCTGGAAGAGGGTTCAGGGTTGAGGGTTTAGGGTTTAGGGCTGAAGAGCGGCCAAGGGTGGTTGCCCCAAGGGTCCCACCTACTCACATTGAACTCTACACCCCAAACCCAAAACCAAACAAAACCTAAAGCCCCTCAATGTCAAGTACGGGCCCAACCACGGCCCTAGCTAAAAACCCCAAACCCTACAGCCTAAACCCTACACCCTAAATCCGAAACCCTAAACCCTAAACCCTGAACCCACACAAGCCGCCACTCCCTTCTCCACTTTGCCGCGCCTCCCGTACCGCGCTGCGTCACGGTCGAAAGACCTGAAGGCGTTTAGGGCTTGGGGCTAGGGTTTAGGGTTTAGGGCTAGGGTTTGGGGTTGAGGGCTTAGGGGTTTAGGCTTAGGAATGAGGGCTTGGGGTTTAGGCTTGGGGGTTTGGGATTTCGGGTTGAGGGTTCGGGGGCTGGGGTTGAGGGTTTGGGGTCTGGGTGTTAGGATTTTGGTATAGCGTTTAGGGCTTGTAGGGTATGCTTAGAGCCTAGCAAGGCTGGCAGGGTTTAGTGTTTGGGGCTTAGGGCTTAGGACTTCGGGGACCGGGCTTCGTAAACCCTAAGCCCTCAACGCTAAACCCCAGACCCTGAACCCCAAACCCCAATCGGTCGGTCTCGGATAGTGTCTTATAGGGTAGTTTTGTGAGGGAACTATAGGACCCCCCAAAAAACACTTGAAAAAATTAATCACCGAGGATTCCTCCCTGGGAAGAAACCTCATACGCAGCCGCGCTGCGTGGAGCGTGCTGCTGCCGCACGGGACTCGCGATCGTCCAGCCTGGGCACATGTTGCCGTAAGCCCTAAACCCTAAACCCTAAACCCTAAACCCCAGACCCGACAGACCGAACCAAGCCCCAAGCCCTACCCTAAGTACTAATGGGGCCCCTACAAACAGATGACTCCCACCGAGCTACAAGTATGACGCCCATTAGATAGGTCATATGCCCTCAAATACTACCGACGCCTGTGTATGGTTTAGGGTTTAGGGTTTAGGATTTAGGGTTTTGGATTCCCCTAAACCCTAAACCCTAAACCCTAAACCCTAAACCCTAAACCCTGAACCCCAAACCCTAAACCCTAAACCCTAGATTTCGGGGGAACCCGAAGTCCCAGAACCTGAAGAAGAGAAGCCCAAAACCTCCTTGGGGCCGGCCTCGTGTCGCGGTTGGCATCCCGCTCACTGTACCTGGAATGAGGGCCGCATGTATAAAAAACAGATATCACTTATCTATTTATTCAGGGTTTAGGGTTTAGGGTTTGCAGTACTACGTAGAGCTCACGAACCCTCTGACCCCGCCCCGCAAGCCCCCCCCCCCGCCCCCGCCCCGAAAGAACCACGCCAAAAGCATAAACCCCAAACCCCAAACCCTAAACCTAAGTTGTTCAAAATACCTGTTCTCACAATGACCAGAAGGTAGTGGACCTTTTCAGTAAGGCCCCCCCCCCTAGGGCACTCTTACCCCATGTCCATCCCTCTACAGGACCGGTTAAACCCAGCAGGCCCTCCAGCCAGACGATTCAGGGTTTAGGGTTGGGGGTTTAGGCTTACGCAGCTGAACTTGGAGGATCTTGGGACTTAGCAAGTGGTTTGCGGGTAGGGTTTGGGTTTAAGGTTGAGAGCTTAGGGTTAATGAGCAGGTTTTGCAGTTAGGGTCCCTTTTAAGGTACTTCCCCATATGCCCACACAGTATGTCCGTAAAGACAAAAAACCACCCCCCCAAACAACAACAAAACTAATGAAACAACAACTAGTAACAATGATAGTTGTAACAAGAAAGAACAAAAACAGGTAATTCATACCTGGATATACATATATATATATATACATATATATATATACATACATACATACATACATATATATATATATGTATGTATATGTATTTATTTATCTCTCTATATATATATATAGCATACATATTAAGACCCCTCAAGCCCGAAATTTTAAAGCTAAGCCAAGAAACCTAAAGACGCCTTAAAGACTGAACCCGAAAGCCCAAGCCCTGAACCTCAACCCTCAACCCTCACCCCCCCCCCCCCCCCCCCCCCCCCGCCCCCCCAAACCAATCTTTAGGGTTTAGGGTTTGGGGCTTAGGGTTTCGGGTTTGGGGTTTAGGGCTGAGGACCCAAGAGTAACCTCGGAATAAAATGGGTGCCCTTTTTGGATGTTGAAGGGGCTGACAAGGGAACGTAAACCCTAAAGCAAGGGGGAGTCAAGGCCTACCCTCTGGGTCCCTAAACCCTACACCCTAAAACCCTAAAACCCTAAACCCTGAACCCTTAACCCTACACCCTAAACCCTTAACCCCACACCCTAAGCCCTAAACCCTAAACCCTAAGCCCTAAACCCTAAACGCTGAACCCGGTAGCTGATCAGGACAAGAGTCGTTGAGTTGGCTTTAACGGCACGTGTCTTCGCGAGCCTGGGGTTCTCCATTAGGCTGAGGGCTTAGGGCTGAGGGCTGAGGGCTTTAGGGCTTTAGGGCTTTAGGGCTTTAGGGCTTTAGGGCTTTAGGGCTTAAGGGCTAGGTTTAGGGTTTTAGGGTTGAAGGTTCAGGGATCAGGATTTAGGGTCTAGGGTTTTGGCATGATTCTCACTTGGGCTGGGCTTAGGGCTTAGGGCTTAGGGCTTAGGGCTTAGGGCTTAGGGCTTAGGGCTTAGGGCTTAGGGCTTAGGGCTTAGGGCTTAGGGCTAGGGTTAGGGCTTAGGGCTTAGGGCGTAGGGCTTAGGGCGTAGGGCTTAGGGCTTAGGGCTTAGGGCTTAGGGGGGGTTTAGGGCTTAGGGGAAGAGAGATGAGGGTTTAGGATTCAAGGTTTAGGGTTTGGGGTCTTTCTAAAGTTTAAGGTTTTTGGGTTTGGGAGTGCTATCCCCAGACCCTCAGCCCCAGGCCCTAAACTCTAACCCGAGCTTAAGACCTACCTTAGGGTTTAGGGTTTAGGGTTCAGGGTTAGGGTTTAGGGTTTAGGGTTTAGGATTTAGGTTTAGGGTTTAGGGTTCCTGAAGAACAGGCTCGGGCCGCCCTAAACCTGAAACCCCAAGGCATTACTTCAAAACATCCCCCAAGCCTTAAACCCCTTGACCCCTAAACCCAAAACCCAACACAAAACCAAACTAGCCCTAAACCCTAAACCAGCAGATAACTATTGAGGCTCCTGCACTATGGGGTCTTCGGGGTTTCGGGGGCTTCTGATTGGTGCCCTTACTAAATCAAAAACTTTGTGCGGTCCAGAGGAATGCTGAGGATATAGCTGGACCAATCACTTGATTCTTAGTTTTGCAACGATGCCTTGGCGGTAGCAGCAGGTGGGGGACCGCTCCCATTCTTCTTCTTCACACCACATCTGGGCTTTTGCTGTTACACGTCGACAGTCATGCATTCATGCTGCCAGACTTGTAGTGCTGTTCGACCGCGGTCCCTTTGAGAGCCGCCTCACATCCTTTGGATTTCGGGCGCAGGGCTGACCTCCTGCTAAAACCATCTAAAACCCTAAGCGCTGGACCATAGACTTATGACCCGCCACCCCAAATCCCGAAATCCCCAACCCTAAAGCCAAGTTCCCCAAAGTCAAATCCCGAAAACCCGGTCTGTCGAACGCCCTGAACCCTAAGCCCTATGCCCTAAGCCCTAAACCCTAAACCCTAAACCCTATACCCCCTGCATCCTTAAGCCTCCCCTGTGACAGGGGGCCTCTCGGCACGCGCCGCCTTGGCGCGCTCGCTGGGCGGCGCGCCCAACTGGGGCCTTGGGTTTGGGTTTAGGGTTTAGGGTTTGGGGTTTAGGGGATAGGGTTTAGGGTTTAGGGTTTGTTTAGGGGTTTGAGGCGGGTATAGGGTTTATGAGGTGTAATTCAAGGGTTTATGGTAGCGAAGCACCAACAGCAGGCCCTAAACTGTCGTTAAACCCTACAAAGCCCAAAACGCCGAGTCACATATGATAGATGGGATGTGAGGGGCATCGCCCCAAACCCTAAACCCAAACCCTAAAGCCTAAACCCTAAACCCTAAACCCTTAATTAACCCTAAACCCTAAACCCTAAACCCTAAACCCAAAACCCAGACCCTAAGCATCCCAGTGGCAAGTTGTCCAGACATCAAGTTTGCAGTTCTGGCCAGGGGAGTTCTAGGCCGAAGGGCTTAGGGTTTAGGGCTTAGGGTTTTGGTTTAGGGTTTAGGGTTTAGGGTTTAGGGTTTAGGGTTTAGGGTTTAGGGTTTAGGGTTTAGGGTTTAGGGTTTAGGGTTTAGGGTTTAGGGTTTAGGATGTAGAGCTCCAATTGCCATGTTTTGGACGTCTTGTTTATCAGTTGTTTTGTGAACTTGCATCCCGCCCCGCCCTTCCCCAACAGAGCTTAGAGGGCTTGGGAATGGGGCTTTAGGGGTTAGGGGGCTTAGGGTTTAGGGTTTAGGGTTTAGGGTTTAGGGTTTAGGGTTTAGGG